CAGCCAAGGGACATAAGCACAGCCCCTGCTTTTCCTGAAACCACCCCTGGATTCTCTCTCTGTCTCCAGAGCCATTTATCCACCGAGCATTTCTGACATAGACCCCATAGCTTTGCCTATGAGTCTGATATAGACATCAAAACATTTTCTGACATGTTTGTGTAAAATCTTCTGAAAGTTTGCAGAAACATCTCTAGGGACTTCACATAAAGCCAGAAGATAAATCACTATAATCTGGATAATTTCAAGGAAGAGAACTGTCACCCACCTCAACCCAGACCAAGTCAACAGTCAGGTGCCCAAAGGAGCATTCACAGATGTGGCTCCAAACTTTGAAGATGGGCCAGTGAGGGAGGCTGGAGAATTTGGCCCCAAAGCTTTCCAATCAAATACTTTTAGAAAACCTAGGATCAAGAGAGACTTTTAGCAAGGGCATCAAGAGTCAGATATTAAGATGGATTTAGTTGGGCCTTTTTTCTAGGAGAATTTGCTGATAGGTGTGTAAGTATTTTCAGTTGCATTTAGAGATGAGCAATTAGTCCCTGTTTGGAGACGGACAAATCTGGTGATCAGCAAAATAATTTCCTGCTGATCTTACTAGTCTTTACTTATGCTTCCCATAAAGTCCCACAAAATCCTGAGAAGGAGACCTTTTCCTCAGCATGAGCTGCATTAGCAGTTTGGCTTCAGTTCTGCAAGTCCAATTCAACTGTTTCTCTTCTCTTCTCTTCTCTTCTCTTCTCTTCTCTTCTCTTCTCTTCTCTTCTCTTCTCTTCTCTTTCTTTTTCTTTCTTTCTCCTTTGCTTGTGAAGCTTAACTAACCATCTAGATTTCTCTATTTCTCTTGTAAAAATGGCATTTATTATCCACAAATTATGTGCCAACTCAAAAACCCCTGACAGGCGGATCTGACATCATGGGCGCCCGCGGGCACTTTGCAGCCTGCAGTGTTAGCCGAACCCGGAAGCGTCATGCCAGAAGGGATGCATTATGTGCATGCCGCCACCCCATAGATGGAGCCATCGCGCCGGCTATGTAACGGACTCCCCCAACCCAAGACCCCATGCACCATTTCCACCCCCCAAGCGGCTTGCCAGCCCCCCAGAAGAGAGCAGATTCTCCGAGTTTAATGCCAAACAATAAAACACATTCTTTCCCTAATGGCCAGGGGAGAAAAACACACGGCAGGGCTCTGTATGATACCCACACATCATGGCGCCGGCTCCCGTGGAGAAATACGGTTTCAAAAAGCGCAAGAGGCTTTTCCTTTCCTTAAATGCAGTTTCTGCCTGTTCAAATGCAACAGACCCCATTCTTTTTGCCAGGGGAGATATGTTCAGGCATGTCCCAGATATGGCCAGGGGAGGAGAGGCGTGTTGCAGCCAATGGGTTATCATACATAGCACGCATGGGGTGGTGGGCGGGCCATGACCGGAGTGGCTTCTGCAAAGGTTTGGAGCCTGAGAGGGTGTTTCAAAAATAAAAACTTGTATTGTTAAGATGGAAAACACCACGGACTGTTTGTTTGATGGGATCTTAACTGCAGAGCCCCCCAAAAGGAAATTTCGACCCAGGAAAAGGCCATCAGGGCAGGCCCATATTCCATGCTAGAGGAGAACGCGCAGGACAGTCTGGTGGCGGCCTGTTATTGCAGATATTGTAAGCCTGCAGAGGGTGAGTAGCCATAGCGCGTTTAGTAAATAGTATTTTGAATCACGTCCTAGCAGCGATTCATAGATAAACGGATAGTTTAATTTCCTTTTTTCTTTTTTCCAAAGAAACGACAAAGACTGAAGAGGTTAGCATGGTGCCTGTTCTGAAAGAGTGTGTCCTAAACGTTTTACACAGCGGATTAACGGACAGTGTGCAAGAAGGCAGTGATGGATCCGGTGAAGCAGAGATCATCCAAACACTATGTACTATTCTAACCAGGTCTGAGGGGCTTTGGGCCCTTATTAACATAGCCATGGTTAGTGTGGTACAGATTCTGAAAGTGTGTGTCCTAAAAATATTACAGCACTGTTTAATGGGATGCCAACACCGATACACTGCATAGAACCACCATGCTGAAGGTGCAGTTCAATGTGCTAGTAATCCTCTTTAAAGCCTTTGAGGTCATGGCCACCTGGCCACCATGGATATGATCAACATTACTGGGGGCCCAGCTCATGTGTGTCTTTGTGCATGCATCACACACCAGATCTCCTTTTGTTTAATGGCAGTGGTAAAATTATCTCTAAGGGAGGAAATTAACACCAGTCCTTAGCAAGGGACAGAAATCATAGAGTTCAAAAAACAACAACAACACACAAAACAGAATTTTTTGTTTTTGTTGTTATTCTTGTTGTTGTTTAATTAAAAGAACATTAAAGTGTCAAATACAGTTTCTTGGAATTATTAACTAACATTTTGGGAGCCACCTAGGCAAAACTCACTGTACTAATTTATTTTGACATCAAATGTTCTTTTGTATTCAGATCTGGTCTTAGAAAAAGAATGTAGCATTTGGGGAAAAAGAGGAAGCCCAGCAGGCCAGCACTGGAGGACAAGATGGAGAAGATCTGTACAGCCACCATGTACTTCCCTTTGGTGCTCAGGTAAGTGGGCACAAAGGACATCCAAACACTGCAGAAGACCAGCATGCTGAAGGTGATCAGTTTGGCTTCATTGAAGGCCCCTGGGAGGTTCCTGGCCCGGAAAGCCACTACGAAGCAGACAGCAGCCAGGAAGCCCATGTAGCCAAGAGCACCATAAAACATGGTGACGGAGCCTTCATTGCATTGCAGGATGATCTCTCCAGACTGAGAGTTCAAGTCAGACTCAGGGAAGGGGGGAGATGTCCCCAACCAAATGCTGCAGATGACAACTTGTAGACCAGAGCAAAAAAGGACGATGGAGTTAGCCAAGCTCTTTCCCAGCCACCTCTGGACTTTATTCCCTGGTTTTGTAGCCAAAAACACTAACACCACCGTGACTGTTTTGGCCAAGACAGAAGAGACAGCCACTGAGAAAATGACGCTGAAAGCTGTTTGTCGCAGCAGGCAGGTGGCTCTCCTTGGTCGGCCAATAAAGAGGAAGGAGGTCAAGAAGGAAAGCAGAAGGGATACAAGGAGGATGTAAGAGAGGTCCCGATTGTTGGCTTTGATGATCGGAGTGTCTTGTTATTTAATGAAGATTCCCAAGACAAAGCCTGTGATTAATGAGAGGAACAAAGCAAGGGAAGCCAGGATGATCCCCAGATTTTCTCGATAGGGTAGGAAGGTCACAATCTTGTGTATACAGTGATCTCGATGGATGTTTGGATACTGATCTTCTGGACACTTGTTGCAGTTTTCTGCATCTGAAAAAAGCAAGAGTAAGATTTCTCAGAAACATATATTTTAAAGAATATTTTATGCATCATGAAATTGGGGTGGAGTGACTTCTTGTGAAAGAAATCAGTCTGCAGTTAGAAGGAGGACCCTGAGAGTTCGGGCCTTCCCTCCACTGTTGACATTGAGGGTGGGGTGCTATGTTGAGGATACTTTCATTTGGATTACTGAAATGAGCAGTGAAGGAGAATTTTAGGGGCAAAGTAAACTACCCTCACCAAAGACATCTTCCCAGGGCACTGGCTCACTTGTATACACAGTCCCCCCCCCTCCCGCCCGAAGGAAACCCAATCTCTCAGCTCAGACATAAAAGCTTTGGAAGACCAAGGAATGCTGAGAGGCTGGGAAAAGATCCCAGGAGGTGAACCCAGCATCTGGAATGAGGGGACAGTTTGATAAACCCCATGACAGTAACTCTTTAGAAAGAAACTGTGATCATGAAACCATGCCTCTTTATTCCTTCACCCATTCATGGTCTTTCTAGTCTTGCCCCGTTACCTCCTAGTTATACTCTCACAGCCTCACTAATCTTACTAGGCACATGGCATGTTAAGTACAAAGAAATCTCTCCAATCACATGTACTGCACAACTTCATTTATTAACTCTACAAAGGGAGACTCCATAACTTCTCCCTTCTTTAGACTTATCTTTACCTCCAATGCTGTCAATAATTCAATTTGTGCTTCAAAGTGCGACCTCATCTCAGCTTTAAACATATCCTTCAAAAATTCAATTAAGCAGATAATTGGATTCATGGCCACCCCTTCCAGGGCTGATTCTTCTAAAAGGCCATCAATTTATCTAGTGAACTCAGCCACCTCTCTCCCATGCAAAGAAAAAGCTGTGGCTGAAATCCGTTTGAAGAAATGAAATTCCAGATTTAGTTTGTGGAGATGTACGGACATTCTATACATCTATATACATTGAATGGTAAATTCCCTTCCTTCTTTTCCCCTCCCTCCCATGCCTGGACAGCAATGGCCAATCACACCTCTTTCGTTGGGCATATCCTTTGAGAACTAAAGAGAAAAACCCACCAGTGTGTTATCCTCCTTCCTTTCACTCGAGCTAGAAGGGGAAATGGCTTGAACTGTTCTTCATTTGACTATGTAGTTTTTTAATCCTGAGGAAGGTTTCATCATGAGGAAGGAAGGAAGGAAGGAAGGAAGGAAGGAAGGACAGACCATTTTACCATTCCAGTGCTGAACTTGTTAAAAAGAATCCAGGCTTTCATCAGTGCATCAAGGGACAAACACCCCCCCCCCCCCCCTCTGCAATAGAAAGAACTGCAGGTAAAGGACCACATACCACAGTTTATTCTGGCTGAAGTCAGAAAACACTTGACATAGAGCAAGAAAATATAGGTGGAGGTAACCTTAAGGGTGGTTTCAGGGTGAGCTGAGGGCTTCATCAGGCATTCCTATTCAAAATAGTGGTCATCTTCCAAACAGAGGAAGAAGGCAGTGGGGCTCAGCCACGGC